GAAAGCTGTGCAACAAAAGGAATATCATGAGTTACTCTGGTATCCAAACACTTATAATTTCGCCGGACGCTTGGCCCTGTCCGGCCACTCTTCTTCGTCCTCGTCGGCATCGGGGGCGTAGTCTGGCGGAGGGGTTTTCGTCTTCTTGGACCCTTCGGCCTCCCCTACTGGGCGGCCTTCCTCTTATTTCCTCCCCCCGCTGGAGGGGGAGAGGTTTCTTCTTCCTCCTCCTCGTCTTCACGGGAGGAGTGCGTCTCGGACTCGTCGGACGACGAGTCCGACCACCATATGCCGGGAACTCTTTCGAGTCCCCATGGCCTTCTTCTTCTTGGCCTTCTTCTCCGGCACCACATAAGGTGCCGGAACTAGCAGCTTCACTAGGAAAGCAGGGGCTGGGTCTTCGGGCAAGGGAGCCGGACAGTTAATCAGTTCGGACTTCGCCTGCCAAGCCTGTCAAAGGTGAGGGAGTTTAGATCCCGCATAGAGTCAAACTATGAAAAAACTTAACATCCTGTAAAAGATGAAAATATCTTACCTCGACAGCAGGATGCTGCGAGCTGAATCCGCGGTCTTTGGAGGCGGATGTGGGAGCCTCGGCGCCTTTGGTTAGCCCCTTCCAGGCATCTTCGTACGTCGTGTCGAAGAGCCTGCTCAAAGTTTGGTGCTGCGCCGGGTTGAACTCCCACAAATTGAAGTCCCGTTCTTGACACGGAAGGATCCGGCGGACGAGCATGACCTGGACTACGTTGACAAGCTTGAGCTGCTTGTTCACCAGGGACTGGATGCATTTTTGTAGTTCGGTCACCTCTTCTTCGTCGCCCCACGACAAGCCCGTCTCCTTCCAGGACGTGAGCCGCGTAGGGGGTCCGGATCGGAATTCAGGGGCTGCGATCCACTTCGGATCGCGTGGCTCGGTGATGTAAAACCACCCTGACTGCCACCCCTTCAAGGTCTCCACAAAGGAGCCCTCGAGCCATAGGACGTTGGCTATTTTACCCGCCATGGCACCTCCGCACTCTGCCTGGTTGCCGCGCACCACCTTTGGCTTGACGTTGAAGGTCTTGAGCCAGAGGCCTAAATGGGGGCGGACACAGAGGAAAGCCTCGCACACGACGATAAACGCCGAGATATTGAGGATGAAGTTCGGGGCCAGATCGTGGAAATCTAGGCCATAGTAGAACATGAGCCCGCGGACAAATGGGTGGAGAGGAAAACCCAGTTCGCGGAGGAAGTGGGGAAGAAATACTACCCTCTCATGGGGCTTTGGGGTGGGGAGAAGCTGCCCCTCCTCAGGAAGCCGGTGCGCGATGTCTTTGGACAAGTATCCGGCCTTCCTTAGCTTTTTGACATGGCCCTCCGTGACGGAGGAGACCATCCACTTGCCTCCCGCTCCGGACATTGTTGGAGAAGGTTGAGGTAGGAAGTGCGGGCTTGGGCGCTGGAGCTCGGGTGCGCAGAAGATGGATAGGCAAAGGAGGAAGAAGGCATAGGTAAAAAGGTGGATCCTTATCCCCTTATATGGGCGGATGCGACTATGCGTCCTCACCAGCCTAGTAAAACTCGCTTGCCTCCCAAGCGCCGTGATAAATGGCGCGGTTGGGTTACCCACGTCCGTATTGATGAGAATCCCGTAAATGGGGGACACGATCTCTACTTTGACAAGACGTGCCAAGGAAACCGCCTCGCAAAACACGCTGAGGTGGAAAAGTGAAAATGATTCGAATAAAGGCTTGGCCGTAGTGTGATGTCACGCTGCGGAATACGTCAGTAGATTAGATTTGTGTTAATATTATTCTCTCTGTGGCAATACGTGGAAACTTATTTTGCAAAGCCGGACACTACTCTTGGTGTTTACAAACTTTTATGAAGAATTTGGAGGAGAAACCCGCCTTGCAATGCCGAAGACAATCTGCGCGCCGGACTCGTTGTCATTGAAGCCTGGTTCAGGGGCTACTGAGGGAGTCCTGGATTAGGGGGTGTTCGGGTAGCCGGACTATACCTTCAGCCGGACTCCAGGACTATGAAGATACAAGATTGAAGACTTCGTCCCGTGTCCAGATGGGACTTTCCTTGGCGTGGAAGGCAAGCCTGGCGATGCGGATATTCAAGATCTCCTACCATTGTAACCGACTTTGTGTAACCCTAACCCTCTCCGGTGTCTATATAAACCGGAGGGTTTTAGTCCGTAGGACAACTCCATCATACAACAATCATACCATAGGCTAGCTTCTAGGGTTTAGCCTCCTTGATCTCGTGGTAGATCTACTCTTGTACTATCCATATCATCAATATTAATCAAGCAGGACGTAGGGTTTTACCTCCATCAAGAGGGCCCGAACCTGGGTAAAACATCGTGTTTCTTGCTTCCTGTTACCATCCGGCCTAGCGCACAGTTCGGGACCCCCTACCCGAGATCAGCCGGTTTTGACACCGACACCCAGGTTTTTAAGTGCAAGTACCATGATAATATATGAACTGTAGACCCGGTAACTCATGTACAATCCCTCATGGTAACTTTGACCGGGGGGAGGTTGATGTACATATACCCTGATAACTTATGTATAAGTACCATGGTATTTTACACATCGAAGACCTTATAATTTGTGTACAAAACACAGTGGTAACTTTGAAGGGGGTGTAGTTGTTGAAGCATAGTACCTGATACGTTCTATGTAAATAGTATGGTAAGTTATACAACACAGGCCTGATAACTTGCATACGAATATCATGGTAACTTTGTCCTGAGGAGAAATCATGTGGTAGACGTGAAGTAGTGGCAGTTTTTCCGGGGGTGGGCGCCCGTAATGTGCGGGAGAAGCAGGTTGGTTTCTCGGGCGAGCCTGCGGGGTCATTTGGGAGGAGGCGAGGTCAAAGAACGAGAAATCGTGTGGTACTTTAAAATAAAAGAAGTAGAGGTGTGACAGTTTTGCTTATATGACACATGTGTGCCAAATATCACAGTCCATAAACAAATAGTGTTGGATCTACTCTGTCCAAATTGATGGCTAATGACCGTTTTCCTGGTCTTTTCACTGGAAGTGATTGTCCTCCTGGTATATAATACAGCGGGCACAAAATCTAATGGCAAATATCTTGGTTCCCAGGTTGAAAGTACGTTATGGGCTTATACTGCAGGCATCCATGAATCGCTCATCTCATGCAAGAAACATCTTCAAGTACTTCCTGTAATTTGGTATACGAAATTCAAGCCAAGGTTTTAAATTACCATTGTCGTGCAATGGTTCGATTCCGTTGTAATGGCCCAATCCAGATAAAGCTGACTTCTCATCAAGAGGATACATAAGATTCTGGAAGGAAATCAAGCTTACTCACAGTGAGTCATCATCATTGTTCTGGAACTGTATCAGAATAAGAGTAGAAGCAATAATAAGATAATCACTATATACAATTTCCTTGGGCTAAAATTATGTATTTTCGAAAGAAGGCACTGAAATTAAAGAGTTTAAGCTACTAAGAAACTTGTAGATTAGCTTTACGCCAATAAAATCACCACGCCAGACAACACAAAATAAGTATATATTGTCTCTGGTTTTATCTCTGTCTACGCGGTCATGGATCTGGACATCATAGCAGCCCTCCAAGCACTATCCAACGGACATCAAAGACTCAAAGCAAAAAAACTTCCACACTTGACGAACCACGCATCCAGTGCCGTGGGACAAAGACAAACAACAGTTTTTCAGGCATCCCAATGCAGCATATTTTTCAGCCCGTTTTTAGTCATTAGAAAACACAAAGATCAGTTTTTCAGTCCGTTGAAAATACAAACAGTGGCATTGTATACATACTGAACAAAACAACGTTGCACAGAAGCATTTTTACTGCTGAAATAAGCTACAGAGATAGACAGTTTTGCAGAGAAGCTTTTTTGTTGAAGCTTTAGCAGCTTGCATACAATACTTCTCTTCAGATTTGTGCAAAGATAAGCTACAGTTTTAGGCAAAGAATGAACCAAACATTGCAGAGAACACGACAACAAACTAATCAAGGTAGAAATCGGCGAATAGGACAGGGGACCTGTGAAGAGGCTACGCTGCAGCCGACCACTGGGACATCAGGCGTCGTCAGTGCAATATATAGGGAGCTTGGTCTGCGCATCACAGCGCACGTGAGAGTTATCAGGAGGACAAAAGAGAATTACCGAACCGCTAGTAGAGGAAGGTGAGGAGCCCCTTGTTTTTCACTAATCCGGGCATTTTTGTACACATTCGTGGTTATCCCGAAGGCTTTCCTTACCTTGAGCTCGGCGGCGCCAGAATCGAGCTTCCAGCACCGGCGCCCATCTCCGAGCTCACCCAACATGAGCTCCGCCACCCTCGGCCCGTTCCCACCTCGACCTCGCCCCGGGCCCGTCCCCACCTCGACCTCCGCCCCTCCCCGAGCTCCACCGCTTGGTACTGCCATGCCCGTTCTATGAGGAGGAGGTGGAGGCGGCGAGGGAATGGAAACGGAAGAGGGAGCGGTGGAGCCGCGTGGGTGACGGCGGCCCGACGGCAGGAGGGCGGCGCGGGATTGACCATGCCCTTGCATGCGAGGGAAGTGGAAATCGAGATGAGGATTGGGGCGGCGGCTGCAGAAGTAGTTTTTTTTTTCTTGTCGGGCGGTTGTGATGGTCTTTTCACCGTGATCGTACGACCAAAGGTCTGTATCGTCTACGGGCGCCACGTAATGGACCAAAGAAAACACACAGCCATCCACCCACTTACAGATGGGGCCTCCAGCGAGAACTACATCCCCGATTCACCAGGGGTCTGCAAATCCTGGGAGCTTAGTATCTAGACTGATACTGGTGTCAACAAGCATTCAACAATGGAGAATTCGACACGGAGTATGTATGTCGTTTCAAAAGAATCTGGTGATCTTAAGCTGTTCTGACTAAAGTGCTACAAAATACAGCATACACACTTGGAGTCACATCATTCAATCATAGGCCACATCCAACACCACTATTCCACTAATTATGCACGACCGAAGGACCCTCAGGCCTTGTGCTCACGAAATCTGTGCGTCCAGCCTCCAACCTGTGCTCCGTCTTCTTCAACCTTGCCATGGGCATCAACCTTTGCGGCAGTGAAGGTGATGCCGATTTTGATCTCGCCGTGGTACGAGTTGTCGGCGGTGACCACCCTGTACTTGGCCGGGTTCAGCTGCGACTTGCCGCTCTCCATGCCCATGCTGATCAGGCCAGTCACACTGATCCTGCATCACGGAGACATATTCAGTAATTGAATTAGGACCTTTCCTTTTTCTTTAATTTGCCCTTTTAGTTATCTGCTGATGCTGATGCTTCGCAGCTGGGAGTAAGAAGAGTTCACTCACGTTGCTTGGCCGAGGAAATCGTCGCGGGAGAAGTTGTCGTGGTCCATGATCCGGAAGACCAGCTTATCTTGCCCATTGGCGGCGGAGGAGTTGATCTGGAACCTGAACACCTCGTTCCAGCTCGGGTTCCTCCCCGCATCTGCATTACATGGCAACGTGGTTCATTCATGAAATCGCCATATCCATAGGTATGCTGTCGAACTCAACGGTGGACCATGTCGAGCGAGATTGTGGAAGCAGGGACTGACCTCGGGCGGTGCGGCTCTTGCGCTCCTGGCTCCGGTACTGCACGATCACATACGGGTCGATCTTCCCTGCGCGTATAGAGGTAAAATCAGATGAATCTCCATCCACAGCCGAACGCAAATAACAGAGCAAACCGAAGGCAATCCAAGTTCTACGGAAGGCGCGCAGCGGAGTGCTCACCGAGGAAATCGGTGCCGGAGAGGCCCTTGGCGTCGACCAGATGCACCTCAAGAAGACCGCGCCCCATTGCTCTGTCGATCTTGCTGGAAAACTAACCAATGTATATCCTCTCCCACCGACACAGCCGGCCGGTTGCTCTCTCTGCCCTTTCTGACTGTATTGCTCTGTTTCGTCTGGGACTGGGAGGCCTGTCGCTCTTGTTCTCCTGCGGCCGGCGTTCGGAATTGAGGTGCCGTAACCGACGCGCGCCGGCGTATTTATATAGTACAACTTGGTCCCTCGGATGGGTGGCGGCTGCCGCTGTACGGGTCAATTCAAAACTCTGGAGTTGAGGAAGCTCGCGACATTCTAGCCGGTTTGGACCGGTTCAAGAGCCCCCTTCACGTGCCATCACTGACGTCGACCGCTTCTATGCGAGAAACCGAGTGTTGCTACGGCCTCTGCTGACGCCTACGAAGATTTCCACGCGGTGAGATGGAGGGAGAAACGTACTTGGAGTTGGACCGTGCTCTCGCATAAATCGGCGTGCGTAGATCCATAGCAACGTAGCAGGACTTGGTCTCGACACCACATATTTAAGCGATAGGTGCCGTTGGCCTCTGACCTCGGCTAAGCTTAGGCTCGTCTTATACAAGCGCCTAAGAGAGGATGAAAAGGATTGCTCATCAAACACAAGAAACACAGGGGAAAGAAATTCAAACGTGCGTGAAAACAAAATCGACAAGAAGCCTACTTTACCAGCCTGAACGTGTACTAGTTTTATTACTTTATAACCTTGGAATTTGATTTGGTGCAGTCTACTTTACAACAGGTCTACTCCCGTCGTTGCCTTGTTGAAGGTGTTGTCTCCTTGCTGATGGATTGGCCTTCATTGTTCCGTCTCATAAACTAGAATGAAAATCCTTGTGCTTACTGCCTTCGGCTGGACACGGCAACGATGGCGTGAGGGCGTGTATCCCTTCTTGTAGGCGTTGTTGCAGAAAAAAATTGACTTAGTCATGGGTGTTAAACTCATGCATTGTAATGGTTCCACCATCATTGTGCTTGTTATGTACTCCGCTTGTTGATGTCTCTGGTCTTGTTGCCTTGCATCAGCTCTAATAAAATTGGTTGTGGGCATCACATTGATGCAGAGGCCTGGGGTTTCAACCTCCTTTTCGACCCCCCCCCCCCTCCCCTGATGAACTTCGAAATCATTTACAGGACTTTATTGCCCATTGCGTCCTTGGGGGAAAGACCAATTACTCCCAAGAAGCCAAGCAACTCATGAACAACATGTGTTATGAATGATCCGCAAAAGGTTTTTGGTTCCCTACATGACTATGAATAACCACAAATACAACTACAGTAAGAAGCATATGCACGACCACATTAGTAAGTATACCCATACCAATAACCACAAGTTTGTATAAACGTTCAATTTTCTTCCAATAAAAAAATCACGCTTAAAAAAATGATAACTTTGATGCATGCACCGATGATGACTTACTTGAAAGGTTTTTCTCGACCCATAGGTAGGTATAGTGTGAAGGAAATATGCCCTAGAGGCAATAATAAAGTTATTATTTATTTCCTTATTTCATGATAAATGTTTATTATTCATGCTAGAACTGTATTAACCGGAAACATAATACATGTGTGAATACATAGACAAACTAAGTGTCACTAGTATGCCTCTACTTGACTAGCTCATTAATCGAAGATGGTTATGTTTCCTAACCATAGACATGTGTTGTCATTTGATTAATGGGATCACATCATTAGGAGAATGATGTGATTGACATGACCCATTCCATTAGCTTAGCACCCGATCGTTTAGTATGTTGCTATTGCTTTCTTCATGACTTATACATGTTCCTATGACTATGAGATTATGCAACTCCTGTTTACCGGAGGAACACTTTGTGTGCTACCAAACGTCACAACGTAACTGGGTGATTATAAAGGAGCTCTACAGGTGTCTCCAAAGATGAATGTTGGGTTGGCGTATTTTGAGATTAGGATTTGTCACTCCGATTGTCGGAGAGGTATCTCTGGGCCCTCTCGGTAATGCACATCACATAAGCCTTGCAAGCATTATAACTAATGAGTTAGTTGCGAGATGATGTATTACGAAACGAGTAAAGAGACTTGCCGGTAACGAGATTGAACTAGGTATTAAGATACCGACGATCGAATCTCGGGCAAGTAACATACCGATGACAAAGGGAACAACGTATGTTGTTATGCGGTCTGACCGATAAAGATCTTCGTAGAATATGTAGGAGCCAATATGAGCATCCAGGTTCCGCTATTGGTTATTGACCGGAGACGTGTCTCGGTCATGTCTACATTGTTCTCGAACCCGTAGGGTCCGCACACTTAAGGTTTCGATGACAGTTATATTATGAGTTTATGAGTTTTTACGTACCGAAGTTAGTTCGGAGTCCCGGATGTGATCACGGACATGACGAGGAGTCTCGAAATGGTCGAGACAAAAAGATTGATATATTGGACGGCTATATTCGGACACCGTAAGTGTTCTGGGTGATTTCGGAGAAAACCGGAGAGCCGGAGGGTTACCGGAACCCCCCCGGGAGAAGCAATGGGCCATATGGGCCTTAGTGGAGAGAGAGAGGGGCAGCCAAAGGTGGGCCGCACGCCTCCTCCCCCCTGGTCCGAATTGGACTAGGAGAGGGGGGGGGCGGCGCCCCCCTTTCCTTCTCCCTCTCCACTTCTTTCCCCCTCCTAGTAGGAGTCCTACTCCTACTAGGAGGAGGACTCCTCCTTGGCGCGCCATAGGGGCCGGCCGGCCTCCTCCCCTTGATCCTTTATATACGGGGGCAGGGGCACCCCTAGACACACAAGTTGATCCATGTGATCATATTCTTAGCCGTGTGCGGTGCCCCCTTCCACCATAATCCTCGATAATATTGTAGCGGTGCTTAGGCGAAGCCCTGCGACGGTAGTACATCAAGATCGTCACCACGCCGTCGTGCTGACGGAACTCTTCCCCGACACTTTGCTGGATCGGAGTCCGGGGATCGTCATCGAGCTGAACGTGTGCTAGAACTCGGAGGTGTCGTAGTTTCGGCGCTTGATCGGTCGGGCCGTGAAGACGTAAGACTACATCAACCGCGTTGTGATAACGCTTCCGCTGTCGGTCTACAAGGGTACGTAGATCACACTCTCCCCTCTCGTTGCTATGCATCACCATGATCTTGCGTGTGCGTAGGAATTTTTTTGAAATTACTACGTTCCCCAATAGTGGCATCCGAGCCTAGGTATTATGTGTTGATGTTATATGCACGAGTAGAACACAAGTGAGTTGTGGGCGATATAAGTCATACTGCTTACCAGCATGTCATACTTTGGTTCGGCGGTATTGTTGGACGAAGCGGCCCGGACCGACATTACGCGTACACTTACGCGAGATCGGTTCTCCCGACGTGCTTTGCACAAAGGTGGCTAGCGGGTGACAGTTTCTCTAACTTTAGTTGAACCGAGTGTGGATACGCCCGGGCCTTGCGAAGGTTAAAACATCACCAACTTGACAAACTATCATTGTGGTTTTGATGCGTAGGTAAGATTGGTTCTTGCTTAAGCCCGTAGCAGCCACGTAAAACTTGCAACAACAAAGTAGAGGACGTCTAACTTGTTTTTGCAGGGCATGTTGTGATGTGATATGGTCAAGACATGATGCTAAATTTTATTGTATGAGATGATCATGTTTTGTAACCAAGTTATCGGCAACTGGCAGGAGCCATATGGTTGTCGCTTTATTGTATGCAATGCAATTGCGCTGTAATGCTTTACTTTATCACTAAGCGGTAGCGATAGTCGTGGAAGCATAAGATTGGCGAGAAGACAACGATGGTGATCAAGGTATCGCGCCGGTGACGATGGTGATCACGATGATGCTTCGAAGATGGAGATCACAAGCACAAGATGATGATGGCCATATCATATCACTTATATTGATTGCATGTGATATTTATCTTTTATGCATCTTATCTTGCTTTGATTGACGGTAGCATTTTAAGATGATCTCTCACTAATTATCAAGAAGTGTTCTCCCTGAGTATGCACCGTTGCGAAAGTTCTTCGTGCCGAGACACCATGTGATGATCGGTGTGATAGGCTCTACGTTCAAATACAACGGGTGCAAAAAATTTGCACACGCAGAACACTCAGGTTATACTTGACGAGTCAAGCATATACAGATATGGCCTCGGAGCACAGAGACCGAAAGGTCGAGCGTGAATCATATAGTAGATATGATCAACATAGCTATGTTCACCAATGAAACTACTCCATCTCACGTGATGATCGGACATGGTTTAGTTGATTTGGATCACGTAATCACTTAGAGGATTAGAGGGATGTCTATCTAAGTGGGAGTTCTTTAGTAATATGATTAATTGAACCTAAATTTATCATGAGCTTAGTACCTGATAGTATCTTGCTTGTTTATGTTTGATTGTAGATAGATGGCCCGTGTTGTTGTTCCGTTGAATTTTAATGCGTTCCTTGAGAAAACAAAGTTAAAAGATGATGGTAGCAATTACACGGACTGGGTCCGTAACTTGAGGATTATCCTCATTGCTGCACAGAAGAATTACGTCCTAGAAGCACCGCTGGGTGCCAGGCCTGCTGCTGAAGCAACACCAGATGTTATGAACGTCTGGCAGAGCAAAGCTGATGACTACTCGATAGTTCAGTGTGCCATGCTTTACGGCTTAGAATCGGGACTTCAACGACGTTTTGAACGTCATGGAGTATATGAGATGTTCCAGGAGTTGAAGTTAATATTTCAAGCAAATGCCCGGATTGAGAGATATGAAGTCTCCAATAAGTTCTATAGCTGTAAGATGGAGGAGAACAGTCCTGTCAGTGAGCATATACTCAAAATGTCTGGGTATAATAATTACTTGATTCAATTGGGAGTTAATCTTCCAGATGATTGCGTCATTGACAGAATTCTCCAATCATTGCCACCAAGCTACAAGAGCTTCGTGATGAACTATAATATGCAAGGGATGAATAAGACTATTCCCGAGCTCTTCGCAATGCTGAAAGCTGCGGAGG